CCCCAAAACCCCAAAACCCCAAAACCCCAAAACCCCTGATTTATTATCAAAAATTGAGACTTTCGTTAAATATTTGCTTGAGAAATAAACCTTGAGGCAGACTTTAACCTAGAAACTATGCAAGGATTGCTTTCTTAGATTTGGATTTTGTCTTTCTCTTCTTGCTTTTTGATTTAGAAGGCTTAGGCTTCTTCCTTTCCTCTTTAAAAATACTCTCATTTGGATCTTCTTCTGGGACTTCAGCATCGGGGTTGATATTTTCCCCTGTTCTAGCCATTATTTCTGCTTTCTGTTGTCTCCAGACTTGCAGTTGTTCATTACCAAGGATCTTGTTATACACTTTGTCTTCTACAAGAGTCATTATATAATTTTCTTACCGATTCTCTTATCTATGTCTACAAGGGAGTTTTCTTGTGCCTCGCATTTATATTCTAGAGCAACGATTTGTCTTTTGAGTTCCAAAATATTCTGTCTTTTATCAATAATTTTCTCAGATAAATCTTCCATTTTCTGCTCTTGCAGTCCACTCTGGGTTTCTAAGAGTTAATTGGGATATTTACTGATAAAATTTTTACATTCTTCTATTTTCTTGGTCCTAAGATCATGCTCGTATTCTTTAGCTTCAGTAATCCTGGAAGCTTGGGCAATCTCTTTTTCAAGTCTGAGTTTCTTTGCTTCGAAGCCATCAACAGTTCTAATCAAGGACTCGACACTTTCTTGACCTGTGGCTTTGAGGTCATGCATGATTTTTTCAGAGGTTTTAACCTTGGCCTTAGCCCAAGCAAGTTCTTCCTTCAGTTGGTCTCAGAATTTGATTAACCATTGCTTGTCCTTGGCGAGGTAGTTCATTCTTTTGGCTTCCTATAATTTAGGCTGCAAGATGTACCAACTTAACATCATTTTCATACTTTTTAAGCTCCTTTAGGTATCCCACAAGGGCGTAATTAGAGTTGATCTGGAGCTTATCCTTTATTCTGTATTCATTTTCCTTTTTCCTAACATCATCTGTTAAATTAAAATTTTTATTTTGAAGTTGCTTTTTCTCTGCTTTAAGCTCCTTCTGCAAAATTTTCTGTTTCTTGAACTGAATAGGGTCAAGTATTTTAGACATAATAGAGTCAGCCTCTTGCTCCATGATGGGACTAATGATGCTAGCATCTGTTTTCTTTCTCCCGTGAAGTCCTCTACTCCTGCTTCTGTTATGACTTATTCTTGATAAATTCATAATTTTGAATAATTTAAATTATTTCAAATAATTAAATTATTTATGGGGTTTTGGGGTTTTGGGGTTTTGGGGTTTTGGGG